CCTAGGCAATCTGCATTGATCGTATGCCGTGCAACGTAAGCTCTAGATTTAAAATAAAATGACACGAGTAAACATCAAATAACACTATTTTCAAAATGTAAAACCAAATAATAGAATAGTTTGGGAAGCCATTGAGGTTCTCCTCATAATTTATGACATCCCCTACCTTTCACTGATTTATATTCCAAAAATAATGGTTCCACATTGAGCCATACCCGCTTAGCTTTTCTATTACCAATAATGAAAACTAAACTTTGAATTCTTCAAGACAGAACTCCGATATTAATCAAGAGTTTTCCTAAGTGACTCTGATTGTTTATGATGTAATTAACTATAGGGGTTTGCGCCTATAGAAGAATTAGTAACCCAATTAATCTAATCTTTAAATTAGCTCAGAGAATGATCCGTTGAAAATTTCATAGGCAAAATAAATATCATAAATTTCTTAATTTGAATAATTATGCTTATTATCAAGTAATATTTTTATCTTTTGAGATAAAGTATCACTTGTAATAGCACGTTCGGTTATTCAAACTGTTAAATCTATGAGTCATTTTTCAAAAATTAAAAATACTCTTTTTAAAATAAAAGTTATATAAATATGAATTTTTGTTTTCAATAAAAAATGACGGATCAATTCGACAACTCAAAGTAAGACACGTGTCGACAGATGAATTTCATAAGAAACAATATAAATGTACCATAAGCAAGGGTAATTGAGCAAAAATGATTGATTGATTATGAGTTGATTGGTGGACCGATCTGAAGCCAACCAGGCTAGAGGTCGACCGACATAGAGGTTGCCTAAATGAGGGTTTAAGGACAATAAGATGACACGCTAAGTGTTTGTTGATCAAGAAATGACCCACCTATACCCAAATGATTTGGGGTCTGCTGATTAGAGAAGATCCAAAGTATAATTGTCATTGCTCAAAATGTAATAGAGACAAGAGTACTTGAAACCAAAATATCATTTCGAGATCTCTCTCTTTCTTTTCCTTCTTTTGTGCTCATGCATGCGATTCACCAACAAATTTGGGTTAAAGAAATATTATTGGATAAAAAAATAATAATTAAAATATCATATCATGTGAAGGGACTCATACCTAATAATTGAAGAAAGTTGATCATTAATTAGAATAAATTTTTGTCAATTATATAATTTTATTATAAAAAGAGATTTATATCTTAATTTAATAAATATATACGATTTTACTATTCCATATATAATTATCATAAATAATTAACCTCTTAAACATCATACCAAGAATTTTTAGAATAATGGCAATATGGTTGAATTTGATGAATTGATTATTTTTTAATGTTCGAAATTTTTCCGGGAAACATGCATAAGGGATGAAATGTTCTAGATTCTAAATGAAAGTGAGAGGAAGAGAGAGAGACTTAAGTAGCAATAGAAGATCAACCGAAAAGATTCATTTTATTTGTAATATGAATTCATATTTATAGGCCTAGATTCTAACATGACCAAAATATATGTCAGATACTTATTCATTAACCTTTCAAGTGAGTTTTTTTGATAATTTACAAGATTATTTGCATATAATAAAGTTCGAGACCCATTTGATTGATAAATGACATCAATCGTTGATAGATTTTGGTTCAATCAATTCATGGCCTAGAAGAGTGCTCCCTTTCGATTGTTCCGCAGGCTGATGACTATCCTGATCGACTTCTGTTTGTCGTCTTCTATCGATCGCTTATGCGAGCGATTTCCATCCCCGCTTATCCGACAATGTTTCTCTCTTGCATTCTACTTTTGGATTCATGTGAATATATTTTCATGAGTACATTATAATTTATAATTTGTAATTTATTTAGCGTTAATCGTATGCTTACTTTTCGCCCATTTTTAGTATATAAATTATTTAAAAAAGATTTTCTATTTAAAAAAAAATAAATAAATAACCCATCACTTGCCAGATTTAGCTGGCAGCCTTGATGGCAAGCACATCATTGCGAAAGTCGGCTAGAGAATCGTAGCTGTGTTGCATTGACTGAAATAAAAATAAAATGTCAATAAATAAAATGAGCATTTGCATACATACCACTCAAATCTTATGTATTTGCATACTCCACATATAAATTTATTTTTTTTTTATATGTATACCATGCGATAATATCACATAAAAAAATCAATATATATATATATATATATATATATATATATATATGTCAAGAGAGAGGGTTAAAATTTAAATTTCAGATATATTGATACTTAGATGCCCTGGAAATTTACCAACATATCAACTAATTCTTATGTATTTATGTATATACTGTCTAATTTTTTTATTATTTATATTTAGACCATCCAAATTTTTTATATCACATAAAAAATATAATCATTTTAATTTTTAAAATATGAAAATACACCTTTTAATGCATTGTTAAGCATTTAAGGTAGTATTCATGCAAAAATTAAAATTTAGATGTGAGAAATATAAATCATAAGAATTGAGTGGTACATATGTAAATCCTTAAAAAGAAAAGTGAATGGCAGACTCACTCCAAGTAGAGAAAAATAATAAAAGTGCCTGACCACTGAAAATAAAAATAATAAAATGAAAAATATGTATTTTAGAAAACAAAAAACACATAAAAACACTAAAAGAATACTATCATTGAGCCACCACAATATAATTGTAATACCACCACAATATAATCACGTTAACACCATAGTAAAATCATAATAGCACTTCAATAACATCATAATACCACCACAATAATACCATAATATAACAACCATACCACCACAATTTCACTTTCATAATACCACAATATAAATATATTTTTCACTATTTTTTTATTATTTTCAGTGAGTCCGACACTTTACAGGTAGCAAAATTGTATCAGAGTCCAGACACAGAGCTACACCTGAACTCATGATATGATATTATTTCCCTAAGTAGAAAGAAACATGTCACCTTAGATAATTCAAGGGTAATTGAATAAAGTCTAGTTGTTCAACTAGGCGCCGTCTTTATTGCCGTATGTCATTTTGCAATAATTTTAGAACTATTTTAACTTAATTCGGGAAATTAGTCAAACATTGCTGTATACATTTTTATGTGTTATTTATGTAAATCTCTCTAATAATAATCATAAAATTCAAAATAGATAACAGTGTAGTAATAATATTAATAATAGTTTAATTTGAAATGTGAATTGCAAATTTAAAATGAAATAAGTGAAATAAAAAAACACTTGGAAATTATTTGATCAAATTTAAATAAAACATTTAATTCTCACGATGCATACAATATTAATATTTTTGAAATTAAAATATAAATAAATGATTTTCTTTATTTATGATGGACCGATTTGCTGATTAAAACAAATAGATCAGAATATAATTATATGTTGAAATTGTGCTCCAACTCAAATAAATCAAGCAAGAAAAAAAAAATCTATATATATATATATATATGTCCAGAAAATTTAAAATTTAAATCGAGAAAAATATAATAAAAATCATAAATAGGATACCGATTCAAAGAAAATTTAAATTTCTCTTGGTAAAGAATATAAATAAATTATTTCATATTCTATTCTTTAATTTTTGCTTAGAATAAAAATTAAAATCAGTGAAATAAGTTTCAGCACTTTTATGTTTATCAAATTTATTAAAAAAAAATTAAAATATGAAAATTTACATAAATAGCACCCATCTCTTTTGTATTTACTTATCTCACATCCAAAATTTCAGTTTCACGCATCCTAAACCCATGTATGATTAGGTGAATTACACTATTTTCACATTTTCATATTTTAGGTATAAAAATCAAAGTTTGAGTGTTAGATATGTAAATGTACGGGTGTAAACGAGCCGAACACAAGCAAGCCCAAGCTTAGCCGAACACGAGCGAGCCCAAGCTTAGCTTGTGTTCACCTCGTTTATATTTTGTGCTAAAAAATGTGTTCGTGTTCGACTCGTTTGCTTAGCG